TGTTCACATCTTAAATTACTCCTATGAAAATTTACAAACATGTAGAGCACATCCATATGTACATGTAGATTTTTTTTAATCTTGATTTTTTTCTTCGGAATTTTCAAAAATTGGGCTCCATTGAGGTTGGAGCCCAAGCTCCAAAATGGATCACCTTTTGAAATCATAGTCTAACCATGGGTAGAAATCGTCACTTTTTGAAATCAGTAGAAAAATGAAGTTGTTCAAGGGAGCATTGCGGACGAGAAAGGAATTACATCACCAGGATAAATAGTTTGAGGTTGGTACACCATACAATTACACCTTCCAAACCGGATATACAAATCTTACAAGATGAATATCAAACGGAAAGACGATAATAGTAGTAATAATAATAAAATAAATGTAGTAGTACTAAATGAACAAACAAGAAGCGAGTGGCTTCATCGACCGATCAACAATCTTGATTTCAAACTTGTGGCTTAAATTATGCGCGTCGGATGTGAAATGGACGGACGGATCAGGCGCAGGTGTAGCCCGGGGGCATGGCGCAGCCGCAGTCGTTGACGAGCAGCTGGAGGGCAAGCGGCACGTAGAGGGCGAGGTTGAGCACCTTGGCCTTGATGGCGGTGCAGAGGCACGCCGCGGCGGTGAGCATCTCGGCGATGCCCTGCACGAGAGGGCAGCACTTGACGCTGGCGTCGCTGATGTGCAGCTCGTTGCCGAGCAGGTCCAGGCACACGCCCAGCTTCAGCATGTCGATCGGGCACGTGTCGGAGGAGGGCGTGGGGCTTGGCGTGGGCGTCGGGGGAGACGGTGTGGGGGTCGGGGGTGAGGGAGGGCACGCCTTGCGTCCGCCGTGCCGGGTCTTGGGGGACGGGGAGCCGCCGATGACGGGAGTCACGATGCCGATGGCGGGAGTGACAACTCCCCCGACGTCCGGGACGCCACCAACCTCGCCGCCTACGGTGCCGACGACAGGAGAGACCATGCCACCAACCTTTGCACTAGAATGAAATGTTGTGTGAGCTTTGTACTGATTTTGAGATTTATGCTGTGAGCATTGAACTGCAAAAAATGCCATGTTTGGTCCCTGTAATGTTCATTTGACAGCAATGTGATAAATGCCATGTATGTGAGCATATGTCCTGGAGTGGCTGCGCCTGCGCTCTGGTGTGGTGATCGACCCCGCGCTAGTCACATCAGATCTAAGAGCATGCATGCCACTGGAGATCGCCACGTAGCCGCCACCGTCACCTGCAATTGGTCGGAGTCGCTGCCCTCGTTGAACAACACATCTTCGTCAGCATCTCCGGTATGTTGTACTTGCTCGTTCCGGCTCCGGTGGCCCAGTATGCGCCATGGGTAGACGCCGTCGACGGCCACAAGTGTTGGTGCAGGTCGCGCTTCACTTCATGGCGAGTTTTTTTCATCCAAGCTGTCTGATTGAATCCGCCGAGACACAGAGCAGAGCACGCTAGCCGGTTGAAAGTTGAAACACACACACTGGTTAGATCATAGATGCAGAGTGAGGCGTCGCAGAGACCGGGCTCCAGGGAGCCCGTTTTACCAAAAAAAAAATCAAAATATATTTAAAAGTTTCAAAAAATGCCAATTTTTTTGTACAAATACATATGCATGTTCTTTAAGTATGTATAAATTTTCAGTAACTAATTTGATCATTTGAATGCTACACAAAAAAGACAAAAATCTGACACAAATACAACAAAGAAAAAGCCTATTTCAATCTGTGTATTTGTCTTTTTTATATACATCACATATGAATACATATGTTTATGAAAATTTGTACACGTATACTTTAAGTATATGTCTATATGAAAACACTTTTTCAGATTTTTTTTTGAGTTTTGGAAAAGATATTTTGGCTGAGAAATGTATATAGAGCTCAGTGGAGCTCGGCCTCTGCGGCCACTTTTTGCATAGATGCACCAGTAGTCTAGTATATACACGAGGACTTTGACAGATTGATTCTGGCCTCCGGCTAGACGTATACAAGTACTCCCTCCGTCCGCGAATAAGTGTACATCTAACTTTTGTTCTAAATCAAATATTTAAAATTTCGATCAACTTTATAGAAAAGAGTAATAGCATATATGACATCAAATTGATATATTATAAAAGTACATTTCAAAACGAATCTAGCGATACTAGTTTAGTATCATAAATGCTTCTACATTTTTCTATAAAGTTGGTCAAAGTTTTAAAATTTTGATTTAGGACAAAACCTAGATGTACACTTAGGCCTCTCTCAATGCTTCATCTTGTACAGGTGCTAAGGCTGCCATGTAGGCAAAAAAGATGATGTGGCAAGGTAATTAAGAGGAGAGAAATGGGTGTGGTGACTTCAGGGAGAAACAATGTGTTGACACACGAACACGTCCCGTGTACCCTCGACGCCGGGGGTGATGCACCGCAGCTCACGTCGAAGGAGACCCGACCGACAGCGCGATACGCAGGACAGTCGGCGGGCGCTTTTACAGACCCGAAACCCCACGCACCCGGGAGGGACCCCGTCAGGGATTGCGGCGGCTATGGGCTGCCCTAGGTCGATTCGCTCGCCCCTAGAGCCTCGTGGATCGCTGCCCTCCAACGCGAAGAACGGACGAAGAACGAGAAAGAAAGATACAAGGGTAAGGGGTAAAAGTAGATGAACACATAAGTGCAATTGATAGATTGGTTCGATTGGTGTTGTTTCAATCGGCCGTCACCCCCGACATATATAAGAGGCGGCTGGACTTCCCGTACAAGCAAATAATTTATCTAGGCTTTCCTTACAAGAAAATTACATCAATTCACGTCCAAAACCCTAGTCAAATTCGGACTGGTTTTATCCGAACTTTCCAAAACTGTTCGGTTTAAACTGGCTGCACCTTGCGGGTCCTTTTTGCGGTGGTAAACGATCTCGGATGAAAACAAGCCAAAAGCAATCTTGACCGTTTCGACGAGACGAACAACTTTCATGTTGAAGGTTTTTTGATCAGAGATCATCTTGAGGGTCAGATCGGTCTCGCAACACAGGCTATCTCCTCGCGCTACCCGTCAGACATGTGTCTGGTGGGGCGCGCCACATCTCGCCTCGTGACAGGGCTGTACTCCGATTGCTCTAACTTTTGCATACGAACTTGAATTTGAACGATTTTTATATCAAAATCGATCGTTTCAACGAGACGAAGACAACCCGTGTAGATCATTTTTTCATTTGAGGTCGTTTTGGGGGCTTAATCGGCTAAACTGTACTTTGAATATAAGATCTTGGTACTTCGAGCATAGTTTCGGCCTTCGAGATGAAATCGGATGGCAATGACCCAAATTTCAAAGATGTTCATATCAATAATATGAAACTCGTTCATGTAGATCATTTCTCCATTTGAGTCCATCTAGATAATCGTTTGAGCCCATCTCCAGCTTCTGGTCGGATTGACTATCACAACCTCCACCCCGGCAGGCCTTCCACCCGGGTAAGCTTTCCGCACCGACAAGGTTTCACCCCGGCAAGGTTTTTACACCGGCAAGGGTTCTCCCTAGCCCGGCAAGGTTTCTACCCCGGCAAGAGTTCCTCCTCGGCAAGGTTTCTACCCCGGCAAGAGTTCCTCTTCGGCAAGGTTTCTCCCTCGGCAAGATTTCACACCGGCAAGCTTCTTCGCCGGCAAGCTTTCCACGCCGGCAAGCTTCTCCGCCGGCAAGCTTTCCACATCGGTAAGCCCTCACATCGGCAAGGTTTTATCCCGGCAAGGTTTCATTCAGCCGGCAAAGGCCGAATACTTTCTCACTCAGGGCCGGCCCACGAAGTGTTGCCTCTAACTTTTGCATACGAACCCTGATTCGTGACCATGCCAAAATCTGTTGTCAACACATGCCCCCCTGTTTTTCGGCAAAGCTTGTGTGCCGAAAAATAACTTGTATTGTGTTTGTTCTAAGGACAATGTCAACACTCCATCGACCATTTATTTTCCTCAGGACAATAATCAGGTATTGGCCATGTTTGTGCTAAGGGCGATAATCATATATCGGCCATGTCTTGAGTGAACTTTCTGATGCAAACTTGGGTGAAACCTTCTCAGCTTCATTAACAATCCGGTGATAAATTTCCATAGATATGTATCTCAATGTCATCCTTCGAACCATATTGTTCACCCTTTTGCTAGGATTTTGTTGACAATCAACAATAAACTTTCTCCAATCCTTACTTTCGCCTGCATAAAAATTTCATTAGTGGCCGTATCTGTGGACTCCAATTCGGCCTTACCTATGTTGGCAAGAATAAGCATCGGCTATTGATAGATGTGCAATACACCATGACCAACATGGTAGCCAAATGCTTGCTATGCCAACTCTCTCCAATTATCATGTCCAGATATATGAAGAATCTTAAAACAACCCATGGTAAATTTTACATGTAAACATACCTCAAGATAAACTAAAAATGATTCGTCAAAACATTGATAACCATTGGATATTTGTTGCACTATTAGTAACGAATCACCAGAAGCCTCAATATGTATAGCACCTATAGCAAGGCAAAGTTCCAATCCGAATGACAATGCATATTCGGTTTTGATCATTGTGCAAAAATATTTTAAGCGGCATGAGGCTTCACAAAATAGCACCATAAGGATATATATAAACAACACCAACACCTTGGCCATTGCTACAAATTTAACCATCAATATATAATCTCCATGGTTCTAGAGAGATCAAGCCGAAATCAATATTATGCATGATGTCAATATGATGCTCAATAATAAAATCAACCATGATTTGGTCTTACATAAATTCTGAATACTAATAAGCCAAAGCACACCCAATCAAAACATAAGTTCACTTTGCAATTTTGGTGAATTGGTCTATGCATAATATCTTCAATGGTATCAATTTGACAAATTCCTTTGCAAGCACTTATTTCAAACTAAGGACGATGTTAGAATACCACACCGGCCATTCTTAAATATATTCTTAGGGCGATGGATAAATATCGGCCATTACAATGAGGTCCATGTAGTATTCACCCACCAAGGTATGTATAGCCGAAATAAACAAATGAAATAGCAATAAGATATTTCGGCCCCTTTGTATTAGCAACAAAAATGTAACTAACCAAATGTATAGTGATTTGGTAATACTCTGTCATGATATAGAAAATTATGTTGCGTCCATGGATCAAAATAAGTCCATGGAGGATACCTGTGGATGAATTCCATGGCAAAGGCATCAATGTCATTGTTGAAGAAAATGGATGATGTGCTAACCGAAAATTTTGATGTTGTGATCCACCTCTTCGGCTTAAGTGTTTGTTGCTTCCATTCTCCTCTTTCTTCACTTTTATTGTACTTGTTGCAATAGAAGCATGCACATCATTTTTGTTATGAATGATCCTCTTGGGAACCCATGCCATGTTCTTTTGTCTCAGCTCTTGTGCATTAAGATTTTGTAATTCCTTCTTTTGCCAATACGTTAAGCCGAGTGGGCATCTCGGGTGTAATTCTGTTTTGACCAATGGCAGTTCCTTTTTGGCCTTATGCACTCTCAACTTCTTTGCTTCAGATTTGGCACTTTGACTCTCAATAATTGGTTGCTTTGTCTCATTGCCTTTAGTAGCCAATGTTAACACTTTAATTGACTCTTTTTTTATTTGAGATCAAATCTGAAGTTGCACTCTTACGACCATCTCTTTTAACACGGTAAACTTGCTTGACCACCTCTTTCTTCATCCTTGAGCTCTGGACCGATTCCTTATGATTGAAACGGTCTTTAACATGTGATTGTTTAGATATTGATCTTCTCGGAGCTGCATAATATTGGTGAGATGGTCTAAAATAAGATGGATAATTTGCCCTTGTATCATACGTGTCCCATGATGGATATGGATTTACATGAGTGTAGGGAGGCATCCATGACATTGCCATTGGCGGCCCAAAAGCAGGATATGAAGTCTGCTTGCTCAACATCTTCCTTTGCCAATCCAAGTCTTCA